AGGGTTGCGATCCCTTTGCTGGTCCCGGTCCGGTGCGGGGGCGACACTGAGGGTTGCGATCCATTGCCGGACACGGAAAAAGAAAATAAAAAAGGAAAAAAAAAAGAAAAAGTTGTTTCAGGTCTTGTGGCCAGGAGGAAGCACCCTTAGAGATGTGATTCTCAGTCTTAGCTGCACAATAGAATCACTTGGGAGAGCCCAGACCACAACCCTATCCAATTAAATCAGATCTCTGGGGATGGGAGCCAGGCCTCAGTATTTTTTAAAGTTCCAACATGCAGCCAAGGCTGAAAATCACTGCTCAAGGGAAAGAAAACTGTAGAAGATGGAGGGCAGTACTGGCTACATAGTTTACAGGGCCCAGTGCAAAATGAAAATGGAGGGCCCTTTCTCAAAATAATCAAGAATTTCAAGACAGCAATAGCAGAACCAAACACAGGGCCCTCCTAAGTACATGGCCCTGTGTAACTATACAGGTCACATGCCCATGAAGCCAGCCCTAGAGAGAAGAAAACTGAAGGGATAAAAGTAATAAAAGAACGTAAGGGGAGACTCTGGCCTTTGAAATCAGGAAAACTCTCACATATAAGACGGAAAGAGGAAGAAAGAAAAAAAAGATAAACAGAATAAAGGAGAAAACATAAGGTGGAAAGAAGAGTTAAGAGAATTCATTTATTTTTTTATTTTTATTTTTTAGAGATGACTGGTAAGGGGATCTTAACCTTTGACTTGGTGATGTCAGCACCACACTCTCCCAAGTGAGCAAACCGGCCATCCCTATTATAGGGATCCGAACCCCATCGCCTTGGTGTTATCAGCACCACACTCTCCCAAGTAAGCCATGGGCCTGCCCCAAGAGAATTTATATTAGGTAGCTTTAAAAAGACAAGATCTTGGGCCGGCCCGGTGGCGCACTGCTATAGTGCGCCACTTGGGAAGCGCGGTGGCGCTCCCGCCGAGGGTTCGGATCCCACATACAGACCGGCCGCTCACTGGCTGAGCGAGGGGTGGGAGCAACACCGAGGGTTACGATCCCATGGCCGGTCCCGGGCCAGTATGGGCGCGACACTGAGGGTTGCGATCCGTTGCTGGTCCCAAAAAAAGAAAAAAAGAAAAAAAAAAAAAAAAAGACAAGATCTTCAGCCGAGGGAATCTGAAGGTACTGTTTTCCAGCAGCCACTATGAGGGCTGTAACTGAGTTAGCAGCGAATGAAGAAAAGGAATATTGAGCAGTGCTGAGGCCCTGGATGAGATTAGGTAACATGCATTTTTCAAAGAAAGTGTTCAGCATGTTTACATGATTTCCACCAGCATTGTTCAGCAGCCCAGGAACAGGGAAAACAGATGGCTGGTTCCCAGTGAAAAGTTTAGAAGTAACAGAGGTTGTGCTCTGTGGAGGGTACATTTATTTTTGGTGTTTTGTGATAGCTTGGGAAGTTTGGGTCATGATGGAGTTGGCTCTCCATTCCACACATAAACCATCTGGTCTATACTTCTGTTATGAGTAGGTTTCATCGTTATTAAGAGAATTTACTAAATGCCCATTTACACATGGCACTATGCTAGATGATCTAAAATAACTGACAAATGGTTTAGCAATGGCCTTATAAATCATATACAAATCCTTTCATAACAAAATATACTTCTGTTTATTATGTCTGTTGTATAATTCAAATTAAAACATATTACTAATCTTTTTTTTAATGTGCATAAAGGCAGCCAATATAAAGCCTATTGACCCTGCCTCGGGTTATTCAAATGACATCTTCGCCATTGATCAAATACTCAAGAAAAAGCAGACTTGGACAGTGACTGATGCAGCTGCTATTAAACCACACGTGAGTATTCATTGTTAAATGCCTTCCCAGATAGCACTGACAAAAATATTTTCCGCTTCAATCCTACACCGTAAAACCAAGAGAACTTTTATCTGCTCTATTTCTTTAAAATGAGATAAGATCACTTCTCATTTTTACCCATTATAATCACAACATTTCTTGCTGCATAACCAAAAGGATTCAAATATTAGTGTTATGATTCATTCTACTAATCACCTATGTAGCTATACCCAGCATCATTTCTGGGACATTCATTTGTTTGATTCTGGGAACAGAAAACCAATTAAGGTAGGAAACTGCCAATCACAGTGAGTGATGTACTCAGGGAGTCATGGTGAGTGAAAGCATCTTTATTATTGCAGCTAAAAGCTAAATAATAATAGCTTAAGTGTGCTACTTAAGTGACAGGCACTGTGCTCAAGTACCCTACAAGTACATATTCATTTGATTATCACAACCACCCTTGGAAATAGGCAATATTTTCATTCCTTGTCATTTTATAGATATGCACAGAGAAGTTAAATGATTTGCCCAAAGGCACACAGCTAGGAAATAATAGATCAAGGATTATAAACAAGGGCAACATGGCTCCAGAATACACACTTTAAAAAAAAACCATACAGGGCTTTAATGACACTGTTTTTGGTTTTTGGTTTGTTTTTTGTTTGGTTGGCTGGGTTTTTTTGGTTTTTGGTGGGGGGGTTTGGCACCTGGCCAGGTACAGGGATCCAAACTTTTGACTTTGGTGTTACAACACTGTGCTCTAACCAACTGAGCTAACTGGCCAGCCCCAGAACACACACTTTTAACCATAACTCTGTGCTGCCTGTCTACTTTTGTGCCCTGACTTCTTAGCAACTTTTGTATCCCACGGAGATAGACTAGGTTGTTGTTTATTTTATGCCACCTCCCTTCTGCATTTGATACCTATGAGCAAGGTCTCCTTGACACTTCTACATCCTTGGCCTCTATAATGCTGCATCTTCAGTTCTTGTAGCTGTGTCGTTTCCTCTCTCTTCTTTTTCTTGACTGTTCATCCCTTAAGTATTGATATGTCCTAGTTTTCTAGTCTTGTCCTACTGCTCTTATTGTACACACTCATTCATTTGTTCAGTAAATATTTTTCCAGGAGTTCTGAGATGAGGAGATACCCCAGAGAAAAAAATCACAGCTCCTACGCTCAATAAGTTTGGGTGAAGATGGAAGACATGGAGAAGGAGATGAGCAGTAGTAATACATTGGGAAAAATGGAACTACAGGTGTTCAATACTCCATACCACAAGAACACAAAGGAGTGAGCTCCCAAATTCTGTCTCATTTGGCAAATATTCACACTAGAGTAAATGGAGGCAACTTATAGCCAGACCTCCAGCCCTAGGGCACCAGCTGCCCCAACAGCTAAGAAGCTTCAGAAGATCAGTAGTTTGGCATTCCCGTAACCCAGTCACAGCAGAACACTGGGGCTCTCTGCATTAGGTGAAGGAACAGGTAGGGCTAGTATTCCATAGGCTATCTCAATACACCCTCCTTGTTTCAGCTGCCACCTATGTACTGTTAACTCTTAAATCTGCCACTAGCCTAGACTTCTTTCCTGTACTTCTATCTTATGTCACTGACCCACTTGACGAACATTTCAACCTCTATGCTATGTCTCATAGCATATCAAACTCAACATGTTCAAAACCAAACACCATCTGCTCCATCAAACTGGCTGTGTCCTGGGGATTCTGGCTGGTACAGGAACCTAATACTTTGACTCTGGTGTTACAACACCACATTCTAACCAACTGAGCTAACCAGATACCTCCTGTATTTTCAATTTGCTTTCTAATATTCTTATAAAATTTCCTATCTCATTATTTCCAAGTAATACATTTGATTGTCCATCAATTCCTAGGTCACATGTCCTCAAGAGGCACTACACAGGTATAGACTCAGTGCCTTTAAAGTAGCCTGGGAACATAACTCTTGGGACATCTATAATTGTGGTCCACAAATCAAAGATATTTTAAGATAACTATAGTAAGCTTCTGCTCTCTTACTGCAGGTGAAGAGAGCAACAGATACCTATCATTTAGGAATTGCCCTTGAGCACCGGAAAGAAATGCTAAACCTTTGTCGGAAGATCCGAGGGGATCTGATTGGGATAGACACTAAAAATGAGTCCTTTTATGACACCTTTTCTACTTATACATGGTCCTGGAATGTTTGCCAAGAATTACTTTCTCCTAAGGACTTAAGGCCGTATGATGCTCACATGTGTAGAAATTCCTTCTACAACTCTGGATTCTCTTCCTCATCGGATATCAGTGAATGTAACCCAGAGACAGGAAAAAGAAAACGGAAAGGTTTCAAAGGGTTTCGACAATGAAATTTCTACATTTTCTATACAGGTCATCACAAACCACTTTTTCTCAGTTATCAAAATTATGGTTTCTTGATTTTGTCTAATACATTCTTAGCAACTGGAAATTTTGACATCTTTTGTATTTTGACCAGTAAAAAAGTTTAAGTCATAAAATGGTTTCCCTTTCCTAAATCTTTACTAGTAAGTAGACGCGGTGAAGTTAGTTCCTTTAGCAACCAGCAGCATTCTGCTGCCCCCACATGGCTTAAAATTGCCTGGGCATCAGCAGGAACGAGGAAAGCTGGCCTGAGCTCCTAAGGGCCCTCCAAGCAATAAGCATGACTGTAAACAGGATTAGGTTTTTGATTGTTCATGAAAGAGGCCAGAGACAGCGGATGACAATGACCGTTCAGTTTCAGAGAATAAGGCCACCAGCCCCCAGGAAACCTTGATTAAATTTGTGCGTTCCCAAGACTCCTCAGCCACACACCTGCACTTGGATCACTTTTACAAATAGCTGATCTCATCCATCACATTTGTTGTTGTTGTTGGCTAATGCATTTAATAAAAGAGCACACATATAACTATATTACAAGTTTAAGTGTATTTGTAATTTTTTTTTTTTTTTTTTTTTTTGTGGCTGGCCAGGGCAGGATGTAATTTTTTATTATGGCAATTTACTATTTTAATCATCTTTAAATATATATCATCCATTATATTTTTATTCTTCTTAGCTCCACTCTTGGAGTTCTTAAGGCATTTTTCTATTGTTTTTGAGGCAGCTCACTCACAGAGAGACAGACCATTACTTTTTTTTTTTTTTTTTCCTTTTTGTCTTTTTTTGTGACCGGCAACGGATCGCAACCCTCGGTGTCGCGCCCGTACCAGACCGGCCACGGGATCGCAACCCTCGGTGTTGCTCCCGCCCCTCGCTCAGCCAGTGAGCGGCCGGTCTGTATGTGGGATCTGAACCCTCAGCGGGAGCGCCGCCACACTTCCCAAGCGGCGCACTACAGCAGTGCGCCACCGGGCCAGCCCCCAGACCATTACTTTTGAACACAGGAAATTTATATCTACCAAGATTAAATCTATATTACCTTTTGATCTACTGTCAGGGTGGTGAAGTGTTTTATTTCCTGTTTCAATTCTAATCTAAAAATGTAAGGGATGACATCAACTATCTGTAAGAGTTATCCAAGAGACTGGCTTGCAGGTGTGTGGCTAAGTCCACCACAATCAATATATAGAGCAAATGCTTTTTAAATCATCATTCTAGAAAAATATGATCCAGAAAAAGGAAAAGAAATATTCAAAATTGATGAGGACACTGGCTTATAATGTAAAATTATAAAGTACCAGGAAAACGCAATGTAGATAGTGAAGTCCCCCAAAATTATTTACTGAAATAGCCTTGAAGTAATTTTGTGAGTGTTACCTTGAATATTCAAGAGTCCAAATATATTTGCTATTCTTTATAAAGTTAAAATGTTGGAGAAGAAAACTAACCTTATAGATAAGTAACCGTATTTTCTAATCAAAAAACAAGATTTATGGGTTGATAAGAGACTTTTTTGTATGGCTGTAGGTGTAAGAGGGAATCTAGGAGATGTAATTTGGATGCCAAAATATTATAATTCCTGGAATATTTCTTTGGATCAATGGGATAACATTGATCAGATAACATTGACAGAATATTTTTAAGTAGATCTGTCCTGGAAAGTCTAAAACATAAGCAATACATTCTTTCTATTAAATTGTCACACACTGTTGATGACAGTATAAATTGGCACCTCTCTTCTGGAATACAGTACAGCAAGAGGTATTCACCCATTCATTCACCACCTATTTACTGAGTTGTATACTGTATGCTGGACCCTGTTCTAGGACGTGGATATATAACAGTGAATAGATAAAACGTCCTGATGTCACAGAGCTTAGTAATGGAGCTAATTATAACCACTGACTCAGCAATTCCACTTCTAGAAATTAATCCTAAAGATATCAAAATGATTTCATTACAAGGATGTTTATCATGTTGAATTTTTAATAGTAAAAAACTTAAAGTAGCCTAAATGTCCAATAAATCATGATATAGCTATACAAAACAGAGGGTCATTGAAATGATGCTGTAAAAGAATATTTCAAAGGAATAATGCTCCCAAGCTATCATTAAGTTAAAAAGCAGGCTACAACTGCTAAGAGGCATGGGGGAACTTTGTGGTGTTCTAAACTTGATTATGACAGTAGTTGCACAAAAACAGATTTTTATGAAAACTTATGAGACTGTACACTTAAAATGGATGAATTCAGTTGTATGTAAATTATACTTCAATGAACCCATAAAAAACCAACAAAATAATAATAATAATAATTATAAAACCAGCGCGCAAGGGGCAGTTTGTTGTATGTATTACAATCTGGACTGTACTAACGAGCCCGGCTATGGATGATTCAAAAAGGTAGATGGTTATAAAAAAATTTTAAACTTGTCCCTGGATGTTCCGTTTGCTTGGACGGGCACGTCTCGTTCTCGGAGTTCATTTCACGCCCCGGCCCCCGACACCCTCTTCTCCCGCACTGTGAAGAGCTGACTGGAGAAGCCGGGAATTCCCTGTTCCCTCCCGCCGCCGGCTGCCTTCTTAAATCCTTCTGGCCATCAGCTCCACGGTGGGACCCTTAACTGAAGTGACTCAAGGTTTTCTTCTGTCTTACTTCTTGAGGGAAACTGAGGAACCTGTTAGAGGACCGCAGCGTTCACCTGGAGCTCCGGCGGAACGTCTCCCAGCCAGAACTGGGAGATGAGAAGACTGGATGTGTGGTGGTCAGAAAAAGAAAAAGCCACTGAGAAGGCCCTCCGGTCCATCAAAATCCTTCTCACCTGCTTCTCGGGATTCCTTAACAGGTGACAAAGCCTCCCTGGAAATACACTGACACTCCTCCAGCCAGATCCTCCCAGATCAGGGCTCTGGGAGGAAGAGAGATGGAGACCACCAGGCAGGTCCGGGAAATGGAGGCCGAGGTTTTGGGATATGGCTACAGCCAGACCCCCAATCTCTGTCTGTACCTCAGCAGCTGGGGACTATTGTGGGATGCATTTCTTGAGTCTCTGGGCTTCAAGTTGGACCTGAGTCAGCTGAGTCAGAGACAGATTTAGGTTGAAAACTGAGTGAATGTTAAGATCTACGCAGACTTGGGCTGAGCATTTAATGGGAGAACCTCAAATTCCTGCCTTGGTTTCCTAGGAAAGCCCAGGTCTCTGCCCCTTTGCTACGGTGACTGCGTGCCCTGGATAGGTCCTGACTTCAGATATTCCCAGAATGGACTCCAAGAATGTGTCCTGTGGGGCTTTGGGGTTCCCCAGATCTGGGGCTTATAGGCCTCACTCTTCCCTGTGAACACACACAGTGCACTGGGATCCAGTGCAAACACGCAGCTCTCGCGCACACATCACACACTTGCCCACACACATGTACCCAACACTTGCCTGTCCCCTGCACAGGGAGCAGGCCAGGAGGACTGGGTTATGCCCCTTGCTTATCAGCTGCTTCCTGACTTCCTCTGCTTGAATTCTTGGAGCCCTGGAGCCCTGGGAGCCGGCTCATGCTGGTGCACGTGACTTCCAGAAAACTGCTCAGACAATGAGAGGAAATGCAGTCATCAGCTCACAGGAGACTGGGGATTCCGGCCTGCAGCTCCAGGTCTCCACTCCCTGAGGTGCCCCCTGCATCTCCCTCCAGGTAGCCCTCGGCTGTTCCCTGCAAGCCTGTGAACGCTGCCCAAGATGTCCCCTTTTGGTTGCTGGAGCCTGCCCATGACCCTTCTCACTCTGCTCTGCTGCCCAGGTGAGCCGGGGGCTTTGGGATCCTAACTTGGCACGTGCCCACCCAAGGGGTGGGGTGCCTGCTCCTCTGGCTCTGGGAGGGAGAGGGGTTCCTGGCCCCAAAGTTGCTGAGGCTTTGAACACAGAGGCCACCCTGCCGCAGGAACAAAATGCTGTACCAGTCTGGCTTCTGGTCCCCATGGCCCTGGGCAGTGGGTGGGGGCCCTGGCCTTTTGAACACCAGGTTGAGCAGACCCCCCAAGCTTGGTGACGTAGGATGTGGCAGGTCATGGAGGCGGAATAGTCGGGTGGGCAGGACCTCAGGAGGTAAAGGGATGCGGGGGGTTCAAGGAAAGAGGCGGGCATGTGCCCAGTAGATCTTCAGAAGGGGCCTGGGGACAGTAGGGGACAGCAGAGGGCATCTTCTGGCTGTGGCCAAAGTGAAAATGAAAACCCTTTCAATGGCCCAGTGTTTCTGGTCTTCCAGGGTCTGAGAAGGCATTCGAGGTATACACGCAGCCGGAGAAGCTGGCGGTTGAGACCATGGGGTCCCAGAAAGTCAACTGCAGCACCAGCTGTCCCCAGCCTAAAATGGGTGGTCTGGAAACCATGCTAACCAAGACTCTGCTCGACCAACAACTTCAGTGGAAGCTCTACTTGATCTCAAACGTCTCTGAGGACACGGTCCTCTATTGCCACTTCAACTGCTCTGGGGAACAGAAGATGAAGGGTCTCCCCGTCAGCGTGTACAGTGAGTGGCTGCGCCAAGGGCCCCTTCCCCCCAGGGCAGAGCTGGCGTCTCTGAGTGCGCAGAGCTACTCTGCTACTGCTCCTGTGCACTCTCACCATGGCTCCAACTCCCAGAGCTCCCAGGTGACAAGGAATAGGACCTGGCCAGTGGGCTCCTAATCTGCTCACACCTTGATTAGACTGCTTGAGCTTGCCAGCTTCTCAGAAGCAGGGAAACTAGGTTTTGAGTCTTGCTCAAAGGAAGACGATATAACCGTCTAACAAAGGTTTATGCAAATCCCGTGGTCACTTCCCAGCACAGAGTCCATAGTTTCCTTCCAGCTCAGTCACTGGAGTACCCCACACCCATGACAAGTAGTGGGGGCATCATCAGGAGAGCTGTGCACACTCTCCAGTGGCCCCTGCACTTTCCGAGAAGGCTGAGGTGTCACCCAGTGTTTTCATCTTCCCATGAGGGCCCATGGCAAATGTGTGACCATCAGACACACCTGCCCAGGAAGCATGACAACCTCCCAGATAGGCCAGGATTCTCTCAGTGTCTTGACTCCAAGGGTATCAGTTGGGTTCTCCCCATCCCAACATCAGTAAATTAAAATAGAAAGATGTGCTAAATCCAACATACTTTCCTGGAGTGAGGGTGGAGGTGGGTGGAGGCAAGGTACTCTAATTCAGAAGGGAATCCAGGGTACCTGTTTAATAGGTAAGGGATCGTGGTGGTCATGAACCTGACCCTGGAGAAACAAGGCAGGTCTGACTCTGGTCCCCACCTCTTAAGTGAGGAACCTTACAGATCATAGCCTAACTCCAATGAGCACTCCCTTCGAAGTCTCTCTCAACATAATTATCCACTGTTTTTTTTTTTTTTTTTTTTTTTTTTGCAGCCAGCTGGTATGGGGTCCACTGTTTAATTTTTGAAATGTGTATTTAATTTCTGGAGTGGAAGAAAACAGACCCAAAGTCTTATATCTTTCCTGTTGGCTGTACGATTTCTTTGTAGACACCTGACCACCTCCACCTTGTCCAGTCTCGAAACCATCATGTCCATAAAACTACTGCCCAGCACATCATTCACCCCGAACTTCTTCCTTCTTCCTCTTTACACATGAGCAGGCCAGGCCACAGCCTATGTCCTCCCCCACAAGTCCAGCCAGGGCCCTGAAACAGCACGCTGACAGGAGACAGCCCTGGAAAGTTGGGGCCTGGTGGGGCTGCAACCCCATCCTAACCAGACCTCCCTCCTTTGTCCCCTGTAGAGCTTCCAAAGAAGGTCTCGCTGAAGCTTCAGCCCACCTGGGTGACTGTGGGCAAATCCTTCACCATTGAGTGCAGCGTGCTGGGCGTGGAGCCTCTTGAAAACCTCACCATCTTCCTGTTCCATGGCAAGGAGGCCCTGCACAACCAGACCTTTGGGAGGACAACACCTGCCCCACAAGAGGTCATGGCCACACTCAACAGCACTGCTCACAGAGATGACAGCCTCCACAACTTCTCCTGCCAGGCTCAGCTGGACCTGCGGTCTCGCGGCGGGGACATCTTTTACAACATCTCGGAGCCCCAGGTTCTCGAGATCCATGGTGAGGGGTTCCCACAGATGGAGGTGGGATGGAGGGGCACTCACTTTTGGCCCCTGGGGGGAGGAAAAAACCCAAACCCCACTCTCAGCTGGCCTGGGATGCGAACAGCCAGGACCCCACACTTAATTTTGAGGGTTCCCTCTTATTCTCCTTCTTCCCTGAAGCTTTCTCCAAGTCCCCAGTGAGCTGCAGGAACTTAACCACATCAGTCTGCACTCTCTGGTTTGGCTTATCTCTACAATGAGAAGGTCGGCCTGGCTGAGCCCTGTCGTCCCTGGAGCTCCGCTGTTCCATGGCTCTGTAAGGCCAATGCATTTCCCATCTGCAAGGGGTTTGGTGTGAAGCTCACTCAGCTCTGCTTGAAGAGGGGCGTGGCCCAGACCATGCCACCTTCCAAGCCCTAGTGTCCAGCAACCACATTTTGGTCCCAGGGCTGCAGGCAGGGTGACGTCTGCCCTCATCATCTCACAGAGGTCTGGCTGGTGGCCTGGACCCCGAGCTACCTTTCTCCTAGATAATACTTTTGGGGCAGACACCATTCACCACTCATCTCTGCAAGCCAGGGTGACCTCTGGATGGATGAGTGAGTGTGGGGTGATGGGTGGGCCTCCACTCCTCCTTGGGCCCTGGCACCTGGGACCAGAGGACTTCTAAGACCACTGCCCCCTCCCTTCCCAGAGCCCATGCAGGACAGCTGGATGGTCATCATCATCACAGTCGTGTTGATACTGCTGTTCTTGTTTGTGACATCCATCCTGTTCTGCTTTGCCTTCAGCCAGCACTGGTACAAGAATCGCACAGGCAACTATGGCGTACGAGCTGCATGGCGGAGGCTGCAGGCCTTCCGGCCACAGCCTGCATGAGCAGCGTGGCCACCACCATAGTTGTTGCCTGAATTCAGTGTGGCTCCAGAGTAGTGGGCCAGCCCTGGCAGAAGGACTGTGACAAGCAGCAGAGCATTCTGGGGACATTTCCTTTTCTAGCCTGAATACAAACACCTGGACTTAACTCTATGCCCTTCATATCTCCTGTGATTACACTCAACAGCCAAGAAGGGGACCAGGTATGGACTTCTCTCTCCAAAAGTCTCCCTCAGCCTCCTTCCCACCCTTCCTTTCACAGGGGTCTTCCAGAGCCTCTGCCAGATCGGGCCCTGGGGAGCCCCTAGCTGACCAACCCAGGCACCAGACACCCACCCTCCCCAATCTTGAGTGACTCACTCCTACTGAAGGAGGGTGGGGGAAACACACCCTGGCCCTGCAGGGCAGAAAATCTGTTCCCTCCTGGCCCTACGGGACCTCAGGCCACTCCTGGTGGAGCAGGACATAGCACTGACCTCTCCTTTCTGCCAACAGAGCCACCTCCCTGGGGTGAGTGGGGGGGGGGCTCAAGGAACTAGCTCAGCTCCAGGGCCCTGCCTAGCCAGGCCTTCCCCCACCACTCTCGGCCCTCCACTTCGGGGTCCTTCAAAGAGCTATGGAAACAGGAGCAGTCCCCTCCTGTCCCATCCTGCTCCGTTATGAGGCAAAAAGGAGACCCCACAGCCCTCATCACCCAGGAAAGACAGAGAGACAGGGGAGGGAAGGAGTGGGTAGGGCAGAGTCTGGCTTATGTGGCTTTCAGGCCCTGGCGGTGAAGCAGCTCTCACTCCCGAGTAGAGATCAGGCCTGTTCAGGACCTCAGGGGGGTGCAGAGGGGACTAATTCACCCCAGCGAAGAGGGCCTGGCTGGGGCTGAGAAGTGAGAAGGGCTGCCAGCCATAGTGTAGAGTCGCAGACAATACACAGGCAGTGGAAGCCCCAGGGTGAACTTGCGATGAAGGTGGTGCGGGTTCCAGGGCCAGTGTCGGTCCTCACAGTAGGCTCTCCGCATCATAGTAGTCTGGGGAAACATCATCCTCATCTTCACTCCCTCCTGCCTCAGTGGACCCCAACAAGGAGAAGGGAAGGGGACAGGCCAGTTGCTCATAACAGTGATGGTAGGATCCGCCCCACACCCCCCACTTCCTGGCTTCCAGATCCACCCCTAGGCCTGGGCCCCACTGACCACCCACCCAGCCCTACCTGAAGCCGGGGGAACATCCGCACCCACTGTCCCTGTGGCACTAGGAGGTGGTGGGGGGGGCACAGCTCTCCTGAGATGGGGAGACAAAAGAAAGAGGCCTAGGGGTGGCCTCTGGGGTTTCACCCTCCAGCCCCTGGCCAGCTCTTCCACCCCAGCCCCAGAGCAGGACCCTGACAGAGCCGAGATCCCCCAGCCTCATTTACCCCCCACTTTTCCTGGAGGCAGGAGAGCAGTGCTGAATCCTGGGCACGTCCTGCAAGTGGGGCTGACATGCAGGAGGGGGAAGGAAAGCAGCTGGCCAGGGTAGTAGGGGGCCCAGGGAGGGCAGTGGGAAGGCCAGGTAGTGATGGTGAAACACCAAAGGCCCTTCCTCCTGGGCTTGCGTCTCCTCCTCCTCCTCCTCCTCCTCAGACTCTTCCTGTTGACCCTCCAGGTAGATCTGGGGATTGTGCAAAAGGGGGAGGGGAACTGATGACACAGGATCAGGCTGTCCCTACCACCACTCCTCCATTCCTCTAAAACATCTCCAGATATGCTAATGATGGCTACCGTTTCTTGAGCACTTACTACATGCAAGCAAGGTACCTTGGCGACATTTATTCATGGTTTGCAGGTGGGAAGACTGATGCTCAGAGAAGTTGAGCAATTTGTCCAAGGTCACCCAGCTAGTAAGTGGCAGAGCAGCCTCAGAGCCACACTCACAGGTGCGGCTTCCTCCATTCCTTCTCCTCCCTCTGCCCTGCCAGCCTGGATGGTGGGCGCACCCCTTGCCTCCTCCCAAAGTCAAAATCCTACCCGGCTTTCTTTTTTTTTCCTTTTTGTCTTTTTTCGTGACCGGCAACGGATCGCAACCCTCAGTGTTGCGCCCGCACCTCGCTCAGCTCAGCCAGTGAGCGGCTGGTCTGTATGTGGGATCCGAACCCTCGGCGGGAGCGCCGGCCCCTACCCCGCTTTCAAAGGCTGTTCTCCACCAGCTTCTCCAAGGAGCCTTTCCCCATCTCCTAACCAGGTGTGCGCTCAGCTTTGTACCTCTCCATGTGCCATCACAAACAACGCTGCTTTGTATAGTATCGTTCCTTTAATCCTTTGTTTAACAAATATCGATTGAGCCCCTAAAAAGCGTCAGGCGCTGGGCCAGGCACTCATGACCCGTAGGTGCCTGCCTTCCTGGGGCCTGAAGTCCAGTGGGGGAGGCTCTGCAGGGAAACCTTTCCCGGAGGCCCGGGTGGCCTGTACTTTGGGACGCTCCCTCCCCTTCAGTGGAGACTGACTCGGGGCCCGAAACATCATAGATGCCTAGCAGCCCTAGCTGGACAGGTGCGGGCTGGCTTCTCGCTCCTCTCTCCCCCAGTCCTTTTACTCGAGGGGGGCCCCATATGGATCCCCACCCCTGGCCCCGCAGGTGGGCGGCACCGGGGGCCCCACCCCCACGCACCTGCGGGCGCGGCGAGTTGGGCCCGGAGTTCAGCGTCCCCACCACCAGGCGACTCAGCAGCAGCTGCTGCATCTGCGCGTTCTGCAGCAGCATCAGCTCCAGCAGGTCTGGGGGGAGGGGTCAGCCAGCCCGCGCCCAGCCTCCCCAACCCCAGCCCCCTCTGCCCCGACCCCCGGGCCTTACCCCCGACGCCCAGCCCGAGGGAGGTCGTGCGGCGCGGACGCCGCCGAGATAATGTGCGCGCGGAGGGGGACGTGGGGGGCGACCCCGGGGCCTCACCTGCCTTCACGCGGCCCGGCGGCGGGGGCGGAGGTAGGACGGCCCACGGGAGGGGCTGCACGATGGTCACCCAGGGCTGGAGGCGTGGGGCGGGGGACACTCAGCCAGGTCGGCGGGCGAAGGAACGGGGGCAAGTCACGAGCCCCAACCCCCCTCCCTGTCGAGTCTCTTCCGCTGGGTTTGGGGTCTCGCGCCTCACCCCTCACTGCCTCCAAGGACTGCTCCCAAAGCCCGCCGTCTCCCCCCGGGAAAGGCAGGCCCCGCACCCTGCTCAGCCCTCACCGTCGGGGCCGCAGTCTCTGGTGCGGAGCCACCCCATCTCCCGCCGGCCCCGGAGGCCATGGTCAGGGTTACCTTGGCTACGCCCACGACGCCGACACCTCCCCCCACGCATGCGCGGGGCCGGGTTCCCGCCCCCACGCTGTCCTGTCTCCTCCTCTCCCCTCCCCGGATCCCCAGGAGACAGTCTGTCTCTGGGAGGTCCATCTCCAACTCCCCCAGGCATGGTGTGCAGTATCTGCCACCCTCGCCCACCCCCAGTTCTGGGCCTGGGGGCCCATGTTTGTGGAGCGAATAAGTGGCTGGGGAGGCTTGGTTTCCAGGTCCCAGAGCCCCACTGACTCAGCTGATGAGTTCAGCAGGAATAGAGATTTCGCAGGAGCAGGCTTGTGGGCGAGGGCCCGGGAGTGAGGACGGCAGAGGACCGTCCCTGCCACTCTGTCAGAGAGAGGGGCGTCCTGCGGCAAAGAGTGGTTTCTGGAGCAGACCAAGGAAGGAAACACCAGACAAATTCACGGAAGAGGCTGGAGCCCTGGCCAGAAACACATGGCCGGCCCCTTGACTCTTCCCTGACAACTGTCTGCTTCCTGGTTCCTGGTGGAGAATCGTGGGCAGTTCAGCACCAGCATCCCCAGTACTGTCCCCCATTCTGGATAAGTTACCAAAGCGTGCATTCTTCTGACAGGAAGTCAGCAAGGTCTTCATTGCTTAAGAACAGGTGAGGTGGGGATCTATTTCGGCAGTGGTGACCATCCTAAGATAGGCCGTGAGCAGCAGTCAAGGAAAATCCGGACAGGAAGCTGGGATTAGCACCTCTGAGTTGCCCTTCTACCCCCCCTCCCCTTCTGTTCAGCTCCCCTTCCTGGCAATCCTGGAGTCTAGAACCAGAATGACCATTCCCGCCACCTCCTCTGCTCCTTAGTCCCTGTCTCCAGGGGAGGGGGCCTGTGGGCAGTGCTTTAGGTGTCCCCGTGGGTCTTATCACTTCAACTGCTCTGAACAAGCTAAGATCCGGGAACTGTGGTCACAGGCTCCCGGTGAGTGGAACACAGAGGCGTGTCTCTCCATCTCCACCCTCATTCCAGATAGAAAGACAAAACCAACCATGGTGCTTGCCGTCAACAAACCCTGACCGAGGAAGTGCCTGTGTGTGCAAAGTGCACGTCTGCTCGCTGGGGACAGAGTGGCAGCCTCACTGCATCCATCACTGTTGGGAAGTGAAAACGTACCCACGTGGGCCGGCCCGGTGCACTGCTACAGTGCGCCGCTTGGGAGCACGGCGGTGCTCCCGCTGAGGGTTCGGATCCCACATACAGACCAGCTGCTCACTGGCTGAGCGAGGTGCGGGCGCAACACCGAGGGTTGCGATCCCGTTGCCGGTCCCGGTCCGGTACGGGCGCGACACTGAGGGTTGCGATCCGTTGCCGGTCACGAAAAAAGACAAAAAGGAAAACGTACCCACAAAATGACAGCAGGAATACAAAACTCTGCAAAGTCCCCTGTGGGTGAGACATACAAAAAGTGATTGTGGAAAAGAGAGGACTCATCACCAAGCGATACAGTTCCAGGGAAGACGGCCCTGGATGGGGCCAAGCAGAGTGGGAGGGAGAGGGCAGTGCAGGCTGGGGACACAGTCCAGGCAAAGACACAGATGCAGCAATGGAAGGGCCTGCAATAACTCAGTGGGTCACACTCACTAGCTGTGATGGAGGAGCTGGGAAGAGAACAGAGGTCCCAATGGCCCAAGCAGGTACAGGTCAGACTGGAATGTCAAGCTATGGAATTTAGGCTTCACCATGTGAGTAGTGGAGACCTATTGGTGGATTTCAAAGAGGAGAGAAATAAGGGTGATCTGCACAACTGTGTTTTAGGAAGATTCATCTTGTTCCTCCCATCTTTATGTCAACTACAATTAGAAATAAGAAATATCTGATGAGGATGTGTCCTCCCAATGGAATACTATTCAGCTATTGACAGTTTGGTGTAGAGTATCTTTTGGGGGTGCATAGAATATTTTTACTGATGTGGAAATATGTCCAAGAGAGTTCAGGGAAAAAATTAGTAAGCATAGTAAGATCTTATTTTTGTTTTAAAATCGTATGTATATGCGTGTGTGTATGTACATGAGTATATGCACACACGCGCGCGTGTGTGTGTGTGTGCAGGAAAGAGAGAGAGAGAGCGCCACCCTCAGACAGTAAGGGTTGGGGGTTGGGAGATCAACTCCCAGCCTCCTGGCCTCGGTGAGACAACTCTAAGGTGTCCCTGTGGGCTTGTGCCCCTGTTGTCCCTGTGGGAGCCCTCTCAGGAATGCACACTTCATGGCTCTTCTCCAGTCCCTCAGAGTGCTCCCCGGATTCTCCTTCCAAATAAACTACTTGCTCCCAAATCCTTGTCTCAGTATCTGCTTCTGGGGGAATCTCAACTGAGATACCAACCTCCTACTTTCTCCATGTCTGCCTCCAGGCTGCTGAAAACTCCTGGAAAAAGCTACTTTAGTAGTTCTATGATAAACTTGTGTTCAGAGAAATGACATGCTGAACTAGACAGTGAAGAAAATTAGTCTGGGCATGTTGGGTCAATGGATTCAACTGAGGCAAAGCTGGAGGCAGGGAGGCCCGTAATGAGGCCTCCAGCCTCATCCCTCTTGAGAAAGCCCGGAGCAGGAGGAGGTGGCCTTGGAAAACGGGCAGGAAGGGGTAATGATTCCAAGACGTCGGATGATTCAGGATTGTGTGTTAACCCAACACCAAGCTAGTCTTTTGAAAAACAAGGCTGAGGTTAAAAACTATCTGGCTCCTGGCATTCAGTTAGGGTTGTCAGAGGAAACAAGCATTTGCCATTTGAAGGAGAGCCCTGTACTTATTCGCCTGCAGTATTCTGCTTACAGAAGTTCTGTCACTGGTCCCACAGATCGGAGGAGGTGACCTTCCCGCCGCGTGCCCTGCCTGCTATTGTTTTCTCACAGATCATGAACGCTTCCCCTATTTCCTTTCCCTTTTTCCTCAGTGGGGACTCATGTTTCCATCTTTGGATTTTTATTGTTGTTTTTTAGTTTCCCAAGACAATATGTACCAAAAAGTCTCCCTTTTGTCTTGGTAATCTATTTCTGGAAATACGCTAAACATTGGAAAAGATTTATACTCAAATGTGTTATCACAGTGTTATTTTCAAGGGTTAAAAATTGAACATTACCCAATGTCCAGTAATAGGGGATGGTTGAATAAATTAAGGCAATTCATTCAAAGGTATATTGTGCAAGTCATTGAAAACCACAGAACTGGAAAATGAGCTAGCTCCTCTCCTCCACAGATGGAAACGAAGAGAAAAGGGCCCTTTCTAAAAATCCGATGTGGACAAAAATGTCAACACTTACTTTTGGTACAAGTGTGGGAGCAGGCCGGCCTGTGGCTCACTCGGTAGAGTGCGGTGCTGGTAACACCAAGGCCCCGGGTTCAGATCCTATATAGGGATGGCCGGTTTGCTCACTGGCTGAGCGTGGTGCTGACAACACCAAGCCAAGGGTTGAGATCCCCTTACTGGTCATCTTTAAAAAAAAAAAAAAAGACAAGGGTGGGAGCACCACGCAGAGAGTGACGAGCCAGCAGTGGGCCCTCTCCTTGGGCCCATTTCCTAAAGAGGCACTAATTGGAAGCAGCTAGAATATGAGGGTTGAAGGAAAGGATCTAAATATTGCTTTGCAGAAGTATGTGACTGACTGGCTATGTGGGGGAGAAGAGGCCTTGAAAATACAACAATGAAGAAACCCCATTTTTCTGCCTAGGGATTCTAACCGCTGTTGCTGCAAATTATGGTTATCTTTGTGAGATAGGCATGCATGGTTTTGTCCAACTGTCACCTGGTGGTACTTTGGGGACTTACACACACACAGATCACACTGGTGGGATGCCCTGTGATGGGGACCCGAATTCAAGGTCTTGCCCCTTTAGAATTTCATTATGCAATGGATTCCCAGAGCCCTCCCCTCCCAGGTACCCTGGAATTGGAGTGCCACCAAGCATGAGGGAGCATTCTGCGGAGGCTCACATGACATCACTCCAACCAAATGACTCAGGGAAGCAACTGACCAGGCAGGCGGGGGAATAGGGATGGGCAGGGGAGTGAGAAGACCAATTCTTATGGGTCAGAGTGAGATTTTCTGAGAGGCAGTTCTATTTCACAGAAGTGTTTTGTTTGTGGGCTCCTGAAACTCAGTCTAAACTAGCTTAAGAGGAATAGGGATGGGCAGGGGAGTGAGAAGACCAATTCTTATGGGTCAGAGTGAGATTTTCTGAGAGGCGGTTCTATTTCACAGAAGTGTTTTGTTTGTGGGCTCCTGAAACTCAGTCTAAACTAGGCAGGCGGAGGAATAGGGATGGGCAGGGGAGTGAGAAGACCAATTCTTATGGGTCAGAGTGAGATTTTCTGAGAGGCGGTTCTATTTCACAGAAGTGTTTTGTTTGTGGGCTCCTGAAACTCAGTCTAAACTAGCTTAAGTAAAAAATGTAGGTTTTTTTGGCTCGTGATAGGACAATAATGGAGCTGGTTTATAGTTGAACTGGCTGAGGGACTCAAGTAGTGTCTTCAGGTCCCTCTCCCCTTCCTTCCTTCCTTCCCTCTCCTGCATCTGTCCTTCTCTGTTCTCGTTCCCTCTTCCTACAGACAAGCTTTCTTCACAGGTGAGAGACACACCGCAGGTACCTTCAGACCTAACTTCGGTTACTCAAGACAAATTTAGAGACTCCCAAGGAGAGAGAAATTGTCTTTCTTTTGTCTCAGTACATATAAATTCCAGGGAAGGACTATGATTGGCCCGGCCTGAGTCATGGGCCCAGTTTTGGACAAACCACTATGGCCAAGAGGATTGGCCAGATGTGGGTGACATGTCCATCCCTGTGGCAGGGGTGAGAAGGCTGTCCTGTACTCAGCAGCCCCACAAAGTCACATATTTGGAGTAGGGGAGGAGTAGTTTCTCAAAGGAAGGAGGAATACTGTTACCAAGAGAAGGAGGCATTCATTCCCCTTGGGCTGTGGCAAAAAGTCATATTTAACATACAGCTTTT